AACACATAAATTAATGACTTAATAATTATGTAAACTGTTTCGAGGACTATCCCCTTACTATTAAAAGGAAAGTGCTACTAGTGTAAAAATTTAATTGTTTTAATTTTATTAGCTAAAACCTATGACATATCTTCAAACAATGATGACATGTCTTTACAAAAATGACTATATTGCTATTTAAATTATTGAATTAATATTCTCTTATTATTAAGAGTTAGTTAGTTGAATATTACATTTGGGTGCTATAATTAGGAAAGTAATAGATTCAAAAATATATTGAGGTAACTAACATAGAAAATTAAAAATATGACGAAATTGCCCTTACAACTATAATTAAGGTAAATTTATATATAATAAAGTTCTTCAAAATCTTATCTTCATTTAATCTCTGTGCTCGTGCAGTTTTATATCTGGAAAAAAGGGTCAGATTATAAAAAAAAGCACAAATATATTAATTATTTGATATCATAGTTAACTATTTTCAAAAATATCTAAAAACATAGTTAACTATTATTTGTAACTATCTAAAAACGTAGTTAACTATTTTCAAAAGTATAGTTAACTATTTTTAGTTACCAATTTCAAAACATAATTAACTATTTTCACATCATAGTTATTTATTTTACTGATTTTAAGACATAGGTAACTACATGAAAAATATTGTTGTAATAGTTAGTTATTTAAACAAACATAGTTAACTACGTTAAAAGCATTATAGTTAACTATCACCAGAAACATAGTTACCTATTATACTTTATATAATAAAAAAGAATAACATGCGTAGTTAACTATTATCATAAACATAGTTACCTGATTTCTAAACATAGTTAACTATATTGATCTTCAGCGGCGGCTAAGTTTGACTAGGACATGAGACGACAATGGAGAGTTTAAGGGAGGAGAAAAAACACAATCTTAATCCATGCCTGGAGATTTTTGATATATTGTAGCGAGAAAAGACAAAATGATTAAGAGATCAATTTTGTGGATCACCAGAGAGATATGAGATCGATTATGGAATTCATGAT